CACACGGAACTTGGGGACAAACTCCAACTACATTCAAGCCCTGCACTAACCAGGTCTTTCCTGTACACGAGCTGACTCGCTCAGCCCCACACGTGTGGGTCAAGAGTACCACGTTCAGGTGCAAGAGGCTGAGGGTCAGGAAGAGGAAGTTGGCACGACAGCTAGTGAGCAGCAGGGACCCGGCTCTTGCCAGCCGATGGGAAGCCGCGGGCGGCATCTGCCCACCCCTCTGCCTCGTGTTAAGAATTCACTCAGCCTCCAGAGCCCACATCCAGGAGCCACATCTCCACCCTTCAGAGCCGACGCAGAAATGTCCAACTCAAGAACCCCAAAAAGCGTTTTTGAAACAGACGCGTTGAGCCAACCAGCGGTCACCAGTTCTAAACCAGAACAGTGTTCTAAGTGTGCAGCTGTCACCATTAAGCTCTCCCAAACTGCTGCCCGCCTTTTGAAAAAGCTTTTTTGAGGCAAGAAAAGGATAGAGAAAGTAAGTCTGCCTGCCAGGAAGTAATTGGAGGGAACATTTTTTAGTTCCCCCCCCCCAGGAGCCAGGAACTGTCAAAGAACCAAAATATAGCCATACTGTACAGGATTTAAAAATAGGTATCTTTATTAAAATGGACACAGCATAGTCCTGATAAGTAGATAAACTATATCAGAGGCTGAAAAAGCTGTGTTTAAGCTTGCTTTGACAGTAAATTAATCAATGTACATAGTTGACAATAGGAAGTAAAGCCTCTGAGTTTCACCGCAAGTCACACTGATTGGTCCAGACAGCGAGAGGCTAAGGGCAACAGTGAGTCCGCTGGAGGCCAGCAACCTCTCCTTGAACACTACTAACCATTTCTTTAATGCTTGCCTTGCATTTTTTTGCTGCACTGTGAAAGCAGGCCTTCCCTCCACAACCTAAGCTTTCGTAACCCTGTAACAAGAGGCACGACTAGGGAGGGCTTGATTAGACAACCTACATAAGGCACTTTCAAAAGGAAACTATCAGAGGTTTCTGTCCCAGTGCAATGTGCACTGAATATTTTCAGATCCCTCTGAAGATACTGTCATTAATGGCCCTTGCCCAGAAATCTTGTTTTCATTTTCTAAAAACTATTTCTTCCCTCTGTACCATGGGAAAGGTCCTTAACAATTATGAGATAACAGGAAATATTCCTTCTTTATGGCTTCTATAGCTTCACAATCAGGCACATCAGCTGGACCGAGAAAAACGTACGGCCCGCTCTGTTCCCAAGGCAATCGGGGGCATGGGTCCCGGGTTAACAGTGGCTTTGCTGGCTTATTTTTTCCTGACATTGAGGTTGTTGGCAAGGATTTCCTTTCTTAGCTTGGACATGGCGCCTGCCGCCTGCCGCCTGCTGCCTGCTGCCTCTGCCTCTCCCAGAGCTAGTCTGCTGGTCAGCACAGGAGCGCCATCACCCACCCTCACCAGCACCAGGAGCCAAATCTGAGAGCCGAAAAGCACGGCAAGCACACACACGCTCTGTCCTCAAGAGGCTTCCGGCTCGGCATTTGCTGTCTTATCTTAAAGCCCTTTCCCAGCTCCCCTCAAGCACTGTCCACTCCTCCACTTGTCCCAGCCAGGGGACTCTTGTCACCAAGCTGCGTTTCCCACCAGTGACAACTGCACGGGAGCCAGTACCAGGTCCTGAGTGGAGTCCTGGGGGAGAGGTGCGCGGTGCCACGCGTGTCCACACAGGCCACCTGTGACTGGCCACCTGAGAGGGAAACGGGGGCTGCCAGTCGAGCACAGCGCGCCCGGATACACCAACGTGCTGCAAGGCAGAGCGGACCCTCCAGTGGGGCTCTCAGGCCGGACGCTTCCTCTCTGCTTTTCCAACCAGGAGCGAAGAGGGGGAGGAGAGGAGAAGAGAGGGGAGGAGAGGAAACAAGCAGGAGGAGGAGGAGGAGAAAGAGGAAGACAAGAGGAGCGGGGAACGGGCACAAGCCGGAAGAGAGGAAGAAGAGAAGGAAAGCAAAGAAGGAGGGCGAGGAGGGAGCGGCGGCCGCGCACAAGCCCGTCTCCAACACCGCAGGCACACTCCGCTCAAGCGCTTCCCCTCGCACCCGCCGCCCGCCCGAGACACCAGCGCGTGAGCTCCTTGTAAGAAGGTGTTAGCAGGGCTTCTGACGGACTCCACTGGAGTTCGTGGTTTATTTTCACTCACTCAGAGGGCCTCTGCTAGAAAGAACTGCGGTAGCTGCAGCACTCACAGGCAGGGCCTTCCCGGCCCTGAGGAAATGAGTTCACTGCGCATCTGTAGGAGGTGGCGAAGGGCGAGGGCGGCCCCCAGACCATCAGAGGGCTGCCCGCTGGGCTGGGGGCGCTGAAGTCTCCAGGCCCCTCCAGGGGCTAAAGGGCGAATCAGTGTAGGAAGTGGCCACCAAGCCCAGACCAAGGAGAACGGACGGGAAGGTTGGCTTCAGTGGACTAAGGATGAGGTGAGCGGACAAGCCCAGCCCCATCTCCTTCCAGTCCCCCAGGCTGCAAATGCATTCAGCCATAGCCCTCAGCTCAACGTTTATCCACGTGACGCTGGAGGGAAGCCTGCCCGCGTGCCAAGCGCCCCACCACGGAGTCCTCATAACTCAATATATGAATAAAGAGCAAGCCTGGCGCTGTCTGGGGAACAGGGGTGACACCTGCCCACCCTCACCTCTGCCAGGGAGCACCACTTCACCCTCCACTTCCCCGAGGATGCACCCGGGCACTCTCATGGGCAGCCACCTACCAAGGGAGGAGGATGGCTCTGGTAGCACCAGGGGACCAGGGCACGGCACCAGGGTACAGCGGAGGACTGCTATTCAGAAGGGTGAGCCTCGGCCGGTGACCGAGAGGTGAAGGCTTGGCACTCCACCTGGGCTCCTGCTAGGATACAGCAAGCTACCCGCTCGGGCTGCATAGCGCCCCTCCGAGGCTGTGGGATTTTCACGAAGGGAGGAAGCAACTTGGGATATGCTGCACCCCACGGACCAGATGGCATCCCTTGAAACCGGGGTCCAGGAGTCTGGCCCGGAGGTTTCTCCTCCCCACCCCGCCAAGCTCCCCAGGGCCCCTCAGGTGGGTCTGCGCCTCAGCCTGCTGCAGCCCTGCGCTTCCAGGGTGAGGCTGCTTCCGAACTTTCCTGGAAACCGAGGGCTGATGAGTGACCTACACGGGCCTTGTCCTGTGTGTGGCTGCCGGCCGCTGCGGTCGGGCCGGAGTGGAGAGCCAGCCGGGCTCCGGGTGGTAAGCAGTGCCGGAGCGCAGCACCCGCAGCGAGGCTGGGGGCTGAGCTCTCTCAGCCTGATGACCCGGTCCAGTCCGCCCGGCTCGCTGTCCAGGGGAGGCGCGGCCCGGCCCGGCCCACGCGGGGAGTGAGGCCACACTGTGCCCGCGGCCAGGCGCCTCCACTACCCCGGCCACGGGAGCAGCTGCGACCCCCCTCGGGATGGCGGCGCCCGCCCCGCGCTCACCTCCCGCAGCAGGCGCTCCAGGTGCGGCTCGGCCCAGGCGGCCAGCGCGT